CTCACCTGGATCTCATCTGGCCTCACCTGGCCCTCACCTGGACCCTTCACCTGGCCCTCATCTGTCCTCACCTGGCCCTCACCTGACTCCTCACCTGGACCTCACCTGGACCTCATCTGTCCTCACCTGGCCCTTACCTGGCCTCACCTGACTCCTCACCTGGATCTCACATGGCATCACCTGAACCCTTCACCTGGCCCTCACCTGACTCCTCACCTGGACCTCATCTGTCCTCACCTGAACCCTCATCTGGCTCCTCACCTGGACCTAACCTGGCGTTCACTGGTCCCATCCCAGCCCTGGCACCTGGCTCCTCACCTAGCCCTCTCCTGGTCACACCTCTTGGGCCTCACCTGGCTGTGATGGTGACCTCCAGGCCATTCGGGTCATCGATGTAGTAGAATTTCTCTGCGGGCTCCACCAGGACCTCGAAGCTGGGCAGCACTAGGGTGAGAGCCGGTGTTGGCGCGGCTGGCACAGGGCCCAGCGCTCCAGGACCCCCAGGTCCTCCCCCACTCACCGTACTCCTTCACCTCGAACTCAGCGGAGAACACCTGCTGCGGTGAATTCTCATACTGGGCCCGGATCTTCCACTGCCCCATGCTGCAGAGAAGGCGGGTGAGGGCAGCCCAGCTCAAGCCCTGCTCCCCCTTAGGGGACTGGGGACCCCCAAACCCCCACAGAGCCTGACGTACTTGACCAGCTCTGGGATGTTCCAAGACAAGGGCACGATGCCAAACTGGTTTTGAGAAGACAGAGTGTCCCTCTTGATGGGGATGCCATCTGGGGTCTGTAAGCAGACAGGAAGGGCTGTGGCTCAAAGTGGCTGTTCTGAGGCCAGGCTCTGCCCCCAGCCTCTTTGCACCCCATCTACAGGTGCAGGGGTTAAGGATGTGGACCTGGGTCCATCAGCCTAGGTTCAAACCATGCCATTTACAAATTGTGTGACCTCGGGCAAGTTACTTAACCTCTCTGTGCTCCATGAGCACATGCAGCAAAAGGAAACCATAAAGGCTCCCAGCTCACTGGCTTGGGTTGTCCTTCACATAAGCAGCGCATTGATAAGGATCAGTGCCTCTCTGAATGCAGCTAACAACTAGCATCTTCTGCCCACTCGTATGCCAGACCGGCACTGAGCCTTGTCTGTGAACACATAAGAACAGCAAGTTCATGGGTTCCGCTGCCAGCAGCTAACCTTCAGGAGACAGACCTCAAAGCCTGCTTTTCTGGGTTTGGAATGCGGGCGATTCTGTGGATGAGGTTCTCTGTTGGATGGGAGCTGGAGGCACCAGCACTTAGAGGAGGAGACGCGTGGACTCTGTCCCTGGCTGACCGCCTTGATCCTCTACCCAGTCACTGGGCCTTTGCACTCGCCACCACCTTGCATGATTTCTGTCCCTCCTCATGACAATCGCTGAGGGTAAGACCCCCTTCCTCACTCTGCTCTCCTTCCTGCGCCCCTCCTTCTTCCGGTTTGTTTTTATTACACCCAGGTAGATGCCAAGGACTGAGCTGAGTTCAGGTGTTGAGACCCTGAGACTCAGAGAAAAGTCCCTTCCCCTGTGAACTTGGATTCAATGGAGGGTGGAGGGGGTTAAGAAAGGAACAGATCATACCACACATGGGATCTGAGTGTGTGTGTGTGTGTGTGTGTGTGTGTGTGTGTGTGTGTGTTGGTGCCTGCAGTGGGGACTTGCAACTCTATGGGGGTGCTCAGGGAAGCCTCACTATAAAATCGGGGCAAGGGTGACAATTGAACAGAAAATTTAAACAGGCAAGGAAATGATCTCTGTGGCTTTTCAAAGAAAAGGTGTGTATATACTTATGTTTTAAAGCAGGAACTGTCTGTGCAAAGACCCTGGGGCAGGACTGAGCACAGCAAGGATGGCAGGGGTGAGGGGAGGAGGGGAGGCAGGGAGAGAATGGAGAAAGCTGTGTGGGCTGCAGGAAGGACCTAGACTTTTATCCCAAGGGAGGTGGGAGCCATGGAAGGCTGTGGGCAGAGGAGGAAGAGACCCTCACTGGGGTCTCAGAATGTTTGGGAGCATGTGCTGCCCTGTGGGTCCCCCTGGACCTCTGCCATCTCCAGACATCTCTCTTCATTGATGTCTCTGCATGTCTCTTTGTCTCTGGGACCCCTTGTCCATGGTCTCTGTCCTGTGTAACTGGCGCCTGGCTTTCTGTACCTCAATGCTGACGACGATGGTCCGGCCCACTGGCAGCAGCTTGTGGTCCACAGTGAAGATCCGGTAGAGGACTGGAAGGCCGTGGGAGAGACAGAGGAGCCCATGAGACCTGGCCCCACACCCTGGGGCCTGGCCCTCCCCAGCCAGCCCAGCCTGTACCCGTGGAGCCGGGAGTGTAGATGGTCTTGTCTGTCTGGATGAAGAGGTACCCGCTCTGAAGGCTGACCAGCACCACCTTCTCCACCATCGTGGCCCCGAAGTTCGCCAGGACAGTCACAAACTTGTGGCCCTTTTCCGACCTGAACTCCTTGCTGGCTGGGATCTAGGCATGTGCCAGGGGATTGTTAGGGGTCTGCTCCAGGGTCCCATGCCCTGTGTCCAGATTCGGGGCCCTTGGCGGGGCTGTCACCTGCTCCTCTTCCCCAGGGAACCTGCCCATCATTTAACTTTGCCTGTGTTGTCCAGGTTGGGAGAGGGCAGTGGCACCAGGAGCAGGAGCCAAGGGGGATCAGAGAGTGGACTGAGGGTGGGCTCAGAAGAATGACAGGGTGGGAACTCAAAGGGAAAGGGACTCAGAACGTGGCTTCGACTCAGGAGAGGAAATTAAAAGGGACTGAAACCTAGGGAACGGACTTAGAATAGAGAGGAGACTCTCAGGAGGAGACTCAGAGGAGAAGTTCCAAAGGGGAGGAGACTCAGAGAGGGGCGGGGTCAGAAAGGGAGGAGACTCAGAGATGGGAGGGGCTCAGAGGGGAGAGTTTCGGAGAGGGGCGGGGCTCAGAAGGGGAGGAGACTCAGAGAAGGGAGGGGATCAGGGGGGAGGAGACTCAGAGAAGGGTGGAGCCCAGAGGGGAGGAGACTCAGAGAGGGGAGGGGCCCAGAGGGGAGGAGACTCAGATGGTGGAGGCTGGAAGGGGAGTAGATTCAAGAGGGTAGGGGCTCACAAGGGGAGGGGATAGAGAGGGAGGGGCTCAATAGGGGAGCAGCAGACTCACATGGTGGAGTTTAGAGGGGGAGTACACCCAGAGGAGGGGCGGCAATCAGAGGAGGGGAAATTCAGAAGAGGCAGGGCCTGAGAAGGAGGACGCCCAAGGACATGGTTCAGAGGGACAGACCACAAAGAGTGGGAGGGGCTGTGGAGGTCAGCAGGGCTGGTTCCAGTCTGCGCCCACCTTGATGGTGACGTTGCCCAGGTGTCCGGTGGCGCCACTCAGCACCGTCTTCTCACTGGACAGCACTTGCTTCTTGGCTGGAAAGTCGTGGACCGTGACTGTGACAGGAACGTCCCCTTGAACTTCGTGGGCCTCCAGCACTATGTTTTCCTCATTCTCCAGCCTCAGGATGTTGGGGGTGATCATGGAGTACCTGTCCAGTGGCGCACAGAGCTGTATTCCCAGGGACAGGAGACTCCAGCCCTAGCCTGGTCAGTGCCTGGATGCTCCTCTCTTCCCTAGCACTTTTCCTCAGACCCTGAAGGGGATCCAATGACAGCCTGGGACACCTGCCAGCCTCAGGTCCTGGCTATGCCTTCCTCTCTGGCACTGCCACCTCCCTATCCCCATGGGCAGGACGGCAGTCACCATGACCTCCCACCCACTTAGCCAGGTGTACCTGGATTTGAAAGCATGAACATCTAGGGCTGCAGTTTCCCACCAACCCCTGATCCTCAGAAACAAACCCAGCAACCCTCTTAAGTCTCTAGACTTCCAAACCACAATTGCCTAAAACCATATACCCCTCAACCTCTAAACCCCAAGTCCTAGAATACTCCAAACCCAAACTTAAGCCTCTGACACCACAGTCTTATTAATACAACTAGATCCACATACTCCCAACCCCGCATAAACCCAAAGTACCAAATCACTAAGCCTCCAAATGCTGAAACTCATGTATTCTGAACTGTTTGGACTTGCAAAGTCCAAACTCTTAAGCCTCCAGTTTACTCCAACTCATAATCGCTAAACACACAGACCCTCCATCCTAAACCTCCAGACACTCAGTTCCTTAAATGTGCAAACTCCAATTCCCCTGTGCCTGGATTCCACGGAAACCCAGCCCACAAACACCCCAGCCAGGCAGCCCAAATTCTCATGTCCTACCACCAACCTGAAATCCACAGACACCATGTGCATCTGGATTCTACAAGGACCTGAAGCCCAAATGCCTGCTCCCACCTGGGCCTGGCTACTCACATGGGGTCCCCCAGGGCCAGGGGGAGGCTGGCCAGCAGCAGCAACAGCAGACTGGGACCTGAGGCAGGTCCCATGGTGCAGGGAGAGTGGAGGCAGAGGGACAGAGGAGAGGGAGAGGATGGGGAGGAGTGAGCAGAGCCGCTGGGAGCTCCTTTTATCCACTCGGCCTCTCCCCCACTCAGCCCTTCCTTCCCCTGTGGTCTTGCCCCTCCCAGGGGCTGCCCCAGATTGCTCAATACATTTCCTGAGGGTTTCAAGCCCTGTTGCCAGCAAGTCCAGGGGTTAGTAACCTGAGGGCACATCCCCCTTTAACAGCAAAGTCCTGTCCCCTGTCCTTGGCAATCTCAGGGTCAAGGCCAGCTGGCCAGCCAGGATTGCTCCCCTTTATGCCCAGTCTGTGGTGGAGAACACTAGGGTCCTGAGGGTCCTCTATCCCAGATATTGGAGCCTCATTCATAGCCCATGTCTGGCCATGCATTTATTTGTGAAATTTTTAAGAGAAGAAAGTCTCCTCCAATGCTTTGGCTGGCCCTGGACTCTTGAGCTGAAATGATCCTCTTTCCTTGGGTCTCCAAGTAGCTGGGACAACAAGTGTACACCACTGCTTACCATTCACACATTTATTAATCAAACCTGTCCCATGAGTCCATCTATATGCTGATTCTGGAACCTTACTTCCGGAGACTTTCGTGCTGAGAGAGGAGGAGTGGTGGAAGGGACGGAGCTCAGCACCCACACTCGCAGCCCCATGAATGTTTTCACCAGCAGAAAAAAATCTCTGCTCCTTGGGGGATCAGGGAAGGCTTTGGAAGAAGAGGCCTTTCAGGTGGGCTCTGAAGTATGCATAGGGATTCACTATACTGGTGATCCTTTTGTAGGGAGAGGGGAGCCTGGAGCTCCCTTCACCTGACCTTGGCCGAGTGCCTGACTATTTTTAAAAAGTCATCAAGGAGGAAAGTCTTCATTTCTACTTTTTGAACCTGTCTTATTTCAACATTGTTTTTTAGGATATTGTTATTTGAAGTTGTACTTATTTGCTTTTTTGTGTAGGTAATTCATGCATCCACGTGGTTCAACAGCTAAAAGGTACCACAGGGTGTGAAAGGGAAGGTCATCTTCCTCCCACGATTCTTAAAACTAATCTGAACACATTCTGCATACCACTCTTCTCTCCTCCCAGGTCGCCTTGCTTTTTCATGAACACTATACCCTAGAGATTATTTCACACTGGTGCTCAGAGAGCTTCCTCATTCTTACAGGGAACTACTTCCTATCACACTGTGTGGAAGAATCCAGGGTCCTCTTGATGGGCACATAGACTTCTGTGGTTGCATATCACACTCTCGCAGTGAACGGTCTTGACCTGCTCCCTTTCCTAGCTTTGAGCTTCCTAGCTGTGGTCTTTGGGCCAGCTCCTGATAAGCATTCTGAGCCTCAGCCTCCTCCTGCAGAATGAGTTGTTTTGCAACTACAGGAGAAAGTGCTGGGTCCACATGTACATGCCCCACTGACATTGCTAGATACTGTCAAGTTCCCCTTCCTGGGAGCTGTAGTGATTTACCCACTCCTCAGCTTGCATGAAATGCATTGCCAATTTCCCCAGGGCCTGGTCCCCAGAGCATGTGGGCAGGCTTTTGGATTCTTGCAACCTGGGTACAAACTGGAAGCTCAGTGTCATTGACATTTGCATACCTCTGATGCTCAGAGGTGTTGTCCCCTGACACAGGAGGTAAAGGGTTAATGGGAATGGTGTGAGGGTGGGGGGTCTTGATCCCTGGAAAGGTGGTTTCCAAACCCCACTGAAAAGGTTAAAGGGGAGTTTGCTCTGATTTCCTGTAAACCACACCCTGTCCCTGGCTGTGCCAGGGTGGGGGAGGCCTGGAGAATTAGAGCAAACCTGGCTTCTGTCCCTTTGATTGCAAAACCCTCTCAGGGGAGACAGAAGATGAAAACACTTGCTCAAACTGATCCCCCGTGGCCCCCATGACTTCCCCACTCCTTCCTCCCATCAGCCACCCTATTTCCTGGTTTCATGATGGCCCTAAACAGGGGGACTGGGGCACTGGCAATGCTGACGAGGGACTCCTGTCCTGCTGCAAGGATTGGTTCCTTCTTCTGGAGCCTCAGTTAAGCCATCTGAACAGTGGCCCACAGGACAGTGCTGCTATGTGCCCTTGGGAGGGGCCCAATGCCTAGAAGTCTCCTGGCTGAGATGGGGGGATCAATACAGGGTCGCCATCCTTCAGGCTCGTGGTGCTGGGGATCTGGATGGGCTCCAGACCTGGTGACCACAGGCAAGGGGGCTGGAAGGGGAGCCAGAGGCCTGGAGAGGACCAGGCCCACTGGGAGGAAGGGGAATTCCTGGGCCTCGTGGCCTTTCTCGGGATGTGTACACATTGTGTCCAGAGGCTTGGGAGGGGAATGGTGGACAAGATGAGCCAGCAAGGGAGGGGTGGGGGTTCCCAGTGGAGGCCCAGGAAGCCCAGCACTCTTGTATCTGGGCGGGGCCAGGCTGCTGGCTGACAGGTATGGGGCATCTGAATGGACTTACTCTGAGCAGGTGTGGCAGGCTGGTACCTTTAGGTCCCACATGCAGGCATTCAAGCAATCTGCGAGTATTTAGGGGAAAAAATGGCATCTTTCCTGAACATGCCTAGAATTTTTTCTGGACATTGGTCCCGACTCGGTCCAGTGTAGCTGCCGCGGCCACCGAGTTGCACTGTGTTGGTGTCACCCATCTGTGAAGTCTACAGGAGGCTGCGAATACTGCACTATTTACATAGGGGACTTGGCCATCCTCAGATTTGGCACCCCTGGGTGTCCCATAGGAACCAGGCCCCTGAGACTGCTTATTATTTTCCTGATGTTGAGATTTAACTGGAAGTCCTGTGTTTGATCTAGCACCCCCAGATGGGGTGCAAGGAGGGGGGTAAGGATTTAAGGGTGGGTCCCAGGCGCCCCACTGCACACCTGCCTGGGT